CCCCAAAACCCCAAAACCCCAAAACCCCTCGATGACAAAATTTGTTGGAATCAATGCAAATATAAATACTAAACGAATAGAATTTTAATAATAGATTTATAAAAGAGCAACAAAAAAAGAATGTTTATTGCTTTTTGGAACTTTTTTAATGGCTAAGACAATAGCAATGAAAATCAATCTACATCATCTTAATCCTCAGATAGCTCAGATAGGAAGAGGGAGAATCAGCGTTTAAATTCTTCGAGTAATAATCAAATTTAAGAGAAAGATGGATAGCTTTCATTTCATGCATTTGATAATAAATTGAACGGATCAAAGGCTGAATAAAATCTTTATGACAATAATAAATTGCACAATGGAAATTATTAAGAGAGGAAAATAAGTTCTTATAGATTTAATTCTACCACTACTGATAAGCCTTAAAATGAGCCTTAAATAAATAACGATATTTAAATGTAGTAGGAAAATTTGTAGGACAAGTTTGAAAAGCAAGAAGATATACATCAAAACTATGAATAAATGCCTTTAGATTTTCAAATCATCGGTTAATACAAAGTCATTTTGGGAGGTTGGCTTGAGGTTTCTGTCAATATGGGAGATATCACTGAGGAAAAGGTTGACGCTATTACAAATGCAGCTAATGAGAAATTGTTGCATGGAGGTGGAGTTGCTGCTGCAATAATAAAAAAAGGTGGTCATTAAATTCAGATTGAATCAGACAGTTGGAAGGAGAGATATGGATTGGTGCAAGTAGGGACAGCTCCTGTGGTTACTGGATCTGGGAATATAAAGAATTGTAAATAAATCATTCATGCAGTAGGTCCAAGATGGACGAATGTAAGAATTTCAATTAGTAAAGTAATCTTAATAAAAGGGTTAAAGAGATGATGAAGCTTTACTTTACGAATGCATAAAGGACACATGCAGAACAGCATGTAAATACAATTTAAAGTCAGTTTCTATTCCAGCAATTTCTTCAGGAATATTTAGGTTCCCTAGAAAATTATGTGCTGCTCATTTATTCAGAGCTGTTGAAGATTTTTGCTTTGAAAATAGGCTAGAAATCTAAGTAGACTCTAATCCTAGTTTAAGAGTTATAAGGTTTACTAATTTTGATTTACCCACAGTTTAAGATTTTTAACAGGAATTTATTTAAAGGTATAAATAAAGATAAATATGTATTCCTTTAACAGGCATATCTAATCAAGGATATGAATAAGATTACAATTAGATGAACTAAGTTTCTTATAAAGACTAAAGTCAATAAGATTTTCAAATATAAGAAGTATATTAATGTGTAACCTAACTTTTTTTAGAAATTTAATGATAAAGAAAGAAAATATGAAGCAAAAATACATCAGAGAGAAATTCATGATTAAGAGACTTAAACTCTTTTATCTTATGATGAAGTTGAAATGAGGATTGGAAACTAGATTAGGGATAAAATTAAGAAAGAATTAGTAGCTGAATATGCATTGAGATATAAAGAACTTGTAAAGAAATGGGAGAATGAGAGAAGAGAGCTCTTGGATAGGGATTAAAACAGTTAGCAATATTAGCATCATGCTTAGCAGCATAACAGTCACAATAGATTTGATCCTATTTTGAACAAAAATGGCAACTTAAGTTCACAACATGAGAATTACAATCAAAATTATCAACATTAAAACCAAAATTTCTCCAGTACCGATTACTAATACTTTAGACATTCTCAAAGTAACCTTAATAATGTATAAGGAAGGAGATATAACTGAGACTGGGAAATGATTGAAGGATTGTTACTATCTTTTGCAGTTTCAGTTGTCTATAATGAAAAATAAGTTAGTTTTATATAATTTAATTTCATAATCATTCATCTAACTTTAATTTAGAGGATATCTATTATTTACATTGACATACTCTAACGGGGTTTTGGGGTTTTGGGG